TGAAAGTATATCAGCATTTACCCCTAATGAGCAGCTTGATCCCAACAGTTGTGCAGTTTTTACTAAAAGGTCAATTCCTGAAGCATCCAAAAGCTATATAGCTATACAGCAAGAATGTTTCTTGTAATTAAATTTGCATGTTTTTTTGTTTTTTTTTCCACAGTCAATCAAATGTACTCATGAGAATAAAAACACATTTTTCCCTTCATGGTATGAAGGGATTTGCTAGTGCCTCTCAAATGCGGCAAAGGTCTTTTCTTTTCTCCTGTTAAACAAAGAAAAGAATGTTTTACATCACACTGACTTTTAAAACTTATAATATGGTTTAACCTTTAGAATAATGTTGAGCAAAGGTAAATGCAGCACCTGATTTAGCTTTATAATGGCGAATCTTTGACCCACCCACTCACACTCAGATGCTTTGTCGTTTCCCTCACCCTCAGCTCTGGGTGAAGGTGGAGAGGCTTGAGACAAAGCAACCATTCAAAGCACTGAAGGTTTGCAAATCAACAGCACCCTCCACAGACCATTACCAGATATAACATGCTTGTTCATGTTTTTGTTAACATAATATTTATATATTAAGCAAAACATTTTCTTAAGACCAACTGCTTATATTTAAGATCTAAAAAAGAGGAGGTAATTGTAGGCAAAGCACTGTAGCTTATTGGCACATAAAAATGAAAGTTACAATTTCTAGTTTTATTTTCTTTTGATTTTTTGACTGAATTAAATTCAATGTTTTTTTGTTAGTTAGTTTATTTTTTTTTTGGAGGTTTCTGTTTAACTGGCCTGATTTTACCCCATAAAGCATTATATATTTACTGCATCTGGGTAATCAGGATGTACTTCCATACTAAATTCTATTTTATATTTTCATTTTATTTTATGTCCATATTGTGAGGCTTATTATATTTGCAAAGTGGCATATTTCATTTAAACAGTGCCATCGGATAATTATCTATTTATTCGGAAATACATGTGACACGTCATTAAAAAAGGTAGAAACAAGTCGGCAGTGCACAGGCGTAACTTTCTGAAGGACTGGTGTTGACATGTCCCCACTAACTTTGTCCTGGTGTGGACATGTCCCCACTAACTTTGTCCTGGTGGGGACAGTCCCCACCAATAATTGAAATACATAGATTTGGCAATATGTGTGACAAATTTCTAAATTTGATTTTGCTGCTTTTGAAGGAGGATAGTCACAAATGTAGCTGAAAGGAAAAACATCCATCAATCTATCTTTATTTTTCTAGATGGATTGAATGATGGTGTCATGATCTGGCCTGTTTGCTCCTCCCTAATTAGTAATTCCTTTCACCTGTCGTCCTGTCTTTCCCTCCCTGCCTCAATTATAATTTATTCCTGTCACCTGTTTCTTCTTGGTTATATTTGGTTCAGCCTGAGCATTCAGGGCCAGATCATTACTTGTCTTTCTGTTTAGCCTGTCTGTTAGTTCAATTTCAATTCAATTTCAATTCAGTTTATTTATATAGCGCCAAATTCACAACACATGTCATCTCAAGGCACTTTACAGTTCAACCAGATCATACAGTCAAATTGATACAAAGTTTTTTATCTAAGGAAAACCAGATGATTGCATTGACTTATTGACTCAAATACAATCCCTCACACTAAGCATGCTTGTAGCGACAGTGGAGAGGAAAAACTCCCTTTTAACAGGAAGAAACCTCCAGCAGAACCAGGCTCAGTGTGAGCGGCCATCTGCCGAGGCCGACTGGGGTTCAAGGAGACAGAAGCAGAGACACAAAAAGCAGCTGTAAAAGGCGGCCCGGTCCAGGAAACACACAGCCAGGCAGACAAGCTCCGAGCCAGCTCCCATGTCAGAGGATGAAGAAAGCACATCCACTCAGTCACGGTCAGAGCAACAGGACCACACTGGAAAACAGGCCGATCTCCAACATCTATAAACAATGGTGTTGATGGAAGCAGCACAGCTGATGTTTCTTTCCAGGATGACGTCACAGTTGTATTCATTGGTTCATGTCCTGGTTCCTGGCAGCCAGTGGAAAAAGGGTTTTTGTGTTTGTCTCGTCTCCTGATCGTCCACTGTTCCTCCCCCGCGGAGTCCTCTGGGTTTTTGGCTCTATATGTGGGGAGGTTCAGTTTTTATTCCAGTAAGCCTGGCTCCAGGGAGGAGACCAGTTTAAAGTTCCTGCATCAAATTCTGGTTCCACGTCCTGTCTCGGCTACCCTCTTCCACTAAGCCTGCTCATCTTCACCTGATCCTGTCTGCTTCAGTGCGTCACGCTTTCGGACCCTGTCAGACTCTGAACCCTCCTGGGAGCCTGTGGATGCCTGGAAGTCTGGATCCTGCTACCTGTTTCTGTTCCTGCCTGATCTGGATCCTGTTCCTGTCTGTTCCTGTCTGTCCTGGATCCCTGACCAGGATCGGCTTCCAGCATGTCCTCTGGGTCTGCAGCACCTGGGGAAATTCTTGGACTGGACCGTTAAACCAGGTAAGTGGCCAACTCAGGTAATCATCTTCTGTCAGATGATCGTGGTCACTTACCTGTGTTTCTCCTGGAGAGTGTCTGTGATTGGGCGGTGCCCCGCTCCCCATTCTGCTGTGTCCGCGAGCCACAGATCCACTTTAGTTTTTGTTTTATTTAATAAACCTTTTTGAACTTTCCTACTGACTGTCTCTCCTTGAATACTGGGTCCATCTGTCTGCCTTCCATGACAGATGGATGATTGAAACTGAAATTATGTGCACACTAGGGAGGCATGATATATTGCTGTTGCCATCTTAATCGGCTGTTATTCATCCTTTCTTTATACATTAATATGTCACCATCCAAAAAATATAAATATCAATGCATTTTGGATCTGTTGTGTTCTCAACAATAAGAAAGCATTCAATAAATATATGTTTGAGCTCATTTTTGGAAAATACAAACCCTATTAAAAGCCTTTGTGTCGAGTAACTGTAGGTCCCCACCCTAAGAGTGTCCCCACCAACTTTCATCACAAAGTTACACCCTTGCGGAAAGCACAACCTGAAAAAACACCAGCAAAACCATCAAGATTGGTAAAAAGAGTGGAAGCTGAAGATTTAAAGTATACGACATAGTGATGAACATGACAGTTTTATATGTTTTAGAATTGTAATTTTTTTGTTCAGACTTGGCCTGTTTTCTACCTAGTATCTCATCCGACACACAGTAGTCTTTAGAGGTTTAAATTGCACTGCTTAAGGTGGCTGCAAGTTGGAGTAGCTCTGCAAGCTTGATTCAGATATTTTTTTGGGGAGACCTTTAGCTTCATTTTTTTTCTTGATCATTTTCTTTTGTTTCCCATTATGTCTGCCTCCGGTGTTAGATGCTGTGTAAACAAAGATGTTTGGCCAGTATTTTTCCACTTTTGGACACTCTTGATACATAACCATAGAAACCATAGGGAGTTTTTTTTTACTAAAGCTGAAATTACTGTTTAACTACTTACAGAGGTATCAGCTGAATTGATAAGGATGTGCCGAGAATGCAGAGCAGGAGCAAGGAGAGGAGAGAGAAATTTCAAGCCATCTCTTCCATCAAAACATGACAACAAATTTAGTTCTGTCATTGTTGCCTATAGTAAGATGTCTATTTATGGTCCAATATTCTGTTCGCTACACAGTTAAAGAGAAACTTTCTGATTGGAAATACTTGATTTAAACCCCGAAATGGGAAGAGATCAGAGGATAAATGTTAAACAAATAAAAGCACTGAAACCGGGAAGCGATGCAAATAAAACAGAGCAAATAAAACTACCATGAAAGCATGCACTTCACAATAAAAACACTTGCCATCTCACATAAACTTCAGACCCACAGAGAATTTGAAAGCACACTTGGAAAAAAGGCTGGACATGCCTGATACCTGCACAGCCTGATACAGCTGTTTTGCAAAGAAGAATATTTTAGGATGCACTGGCTTAGACATACTCAGTGCTGTGATTACAGCCATATATACATATCCTAAATATTAACTTGAAGGAGGTGAATAATTATACAAACAATGCCATTTTAAAAATATATTTCACTTAATCTATATTACTTTTTGGAAATTATTTTAATCTTGATCTGAAATATATTTTTATAGTTTATTATTTAAGAAAAGAAATAAGTAAAAGAAAAAATTGTATTGACTATGATTGAATTATGCAAGCAAAGGAGGCAAAAAAGGGCACTGTGTATTTAATCCTACCAAATTAGCTTTATTGTAAACTGGATAAACCATATATTATATGTCGCTTTGAGGAGCAATTTCTCCATATTGGTTAAAATTGAACAAAATCAGTTTAGTTTAAATTATCTTTTTCATTTAGCATTAAACTTCATAAGGGAATTATAAGACTATAGATTTCAGTGCTGTGAATGATGATGCTGGATGTTCCTGTTGATCTCTGAATACACTAAAGTAGGTAGTTTTGAAATTACTTGTTTGCTAAGAAGGACACTGATCTCTTTTAGCTGAAGATTAACTTCAAATATTGATCCTGTTTCATCTAGTTTCCCAGAGCTCATCAGCAAATCTGCAGTTCTGTCCTCTGAACATGTAAAAACAAGCTTTAGTGATTGAGTCATGTTCATCCTTGCGATCATTCAAATAAAGCAATTGTTCTACATAAAACATTTTTTATCTGTCTTTATAAGTAAAATCTGCACCTGTAATCAAACTGCTATGTTTACAGTAAACACCGTGTTTAAAAGTTTAAAGGGATCAAAGTCCAGAAAAAAATACTTTACACCTAATACGGTGGGTTTACAACAACAAAACCTGCACTGTCCTCTGAGTTCAGGCAATATAAACTCCTCTCAGGCTGATCTTGTTGATTTTTACCAGAGCAAGGTGAGAACTAAATAGTAAAGGGCTCTTTATGAATGAAATGCCTTTAGATTAGGATGCAAAAGTACCACTTTGGTCCAAAAATCCACCTTAAAAAAGGAGTTTGACCCTTTGCTCTTTGCTGTCCTTGTCAATCATTGACAAATAGCTAAGCTGTACTATTTATCCTCCTGACTGTGCTATAAGGACCATAATTATACATCACAAAGGACGTCAGTGTGAGTTGATAATGAGCTGCTAGTGTGGGGCCTTTAACATGGACTTATACAAGGCAGCTTTTCTCCTTGCGACCTTCATCTGCTCTGGTAAGCAAAAGTATTTATAGATCATAGTAATGACTCCTTGAACCAAGTCTTAATAGTTGTTTAGGTTTGAGATGAGAAAAAAAAGCTGAGCTTCATAGAATTTATCCTTTAAAGTAGAATAAGATCTAATTCTACCGGAATGTGTTCCTTGCTCAAAGATAGAAGAAAAAAATTTCTAATTTTATTGCTAAAAAATTCACTTTTTCCATTTTCTGTAGAGCTATCGACTTTTGACTGAACAGATTCTAGTCATTGCATTTCATCTAATATACTGAGTCAAATAAGAAATTAAGTAAATGGAAAACACGCCCTGATGTAATCAGTGTGATTCTGTTTTGTTCCAGTTCTGTTTATCATTGTGTCCTTGTGACCTTGATACTCAGAAGGTGGGAGTAATGTGTGGCTGAAGCTCAGGGCAATAACATTTTTTCACAAGGCCTTTGACGTAGATCTATTCAGGTATATGCTGTCTGTAGCTTCTTTTTTTTTTCAAAAGTCCAATATTTGTATTTTTCATACAACTCAACTCCTTTAAATTATTTTTTTTACAAGAATCTGTAAAGTTTAAATAAAACGTTTTATTTTCTGTAGTATTAAAAGTGTCTTATTGGCTCTAAATCTGTTCTGTAAGTCCATTTAGTAACGCTTTTACATTTCCAATGTAATTAATCTGCTTATTTTTTATTTTATTTTTAGCTAAAAAGACTTCTTGTTACCTTTTTATTAAAGTAGAAAGAAGGAATTAGGAAGGACTACTTAATGTTTTCCACTGTTCCTGTCACGCAATGCACTAGTAACTTGCAAATACAAGAGACAAACCACAGAAGAGCATTTTGACCAGCAAGGCTTGCTTTTTATATGAAAAGTTCTGTTTGAAAACTCTTATGTGGTTTAGTTGTAATTAATGGATTCCTGGCCCGGTGTCTTTCTGCATGGAGTTTGCATGTTCTCCCTGAGCATGCGTGGGTTCTCTCCGGGTACTCCGGCTTCCTCCCACAGTCCAAAACATGACTGATAGGTTGATTGGCTTCTCTAAATTCTCCTTATGGGTGAGTGTGTGCATGAATAGTTGTTTGTCCTGTGTGTCACTGTGTTGCCCTGCGATGGACTGGCGACCTGTCCAGGGTGGACCCCGCCTCTCGCCCATTGACAGCTGGAGATAGGCACCAGCACCCCTCGCGACCCCAATTGGGACAAGCGTGTAAGAAAATGGATGGATGGATCACTGAAGTTAGATTCAACAAATTTGGTAATCAAATTGAATAATGGTAAACAGACTCTAAGATAGTACATTTGCTAAGATAATAATCTACTAACAGCAGTGCCTCTATAGCACTGAGCACCAGGGTTGTGTTCTAGGATACTAGAACCCTCAAGCTCCCAGGCCTCTGCTAGAGGACCTGAGCTTGGAGGAAAAAGAAAGACCGTCCGCGGTGGGTAGGGGAGTTCTTTTTTTATACATATATATAGCCTCTCCCTGATGACCAGTACCCAAGGTCAGAGGGGAGTTAAGATCGACCCCCTAATCGAGTTTACAGATGGCCAAGCTTATGTGTGAACTAATTTCAGCCTATTTTATCTGGGTCCTTGTTCTTTCGGTCATGATCCAGACTTCATGACCATAGGTGAGGGTAGAAACATGGACCGACTGGTAAATCAAGAGCTTTACTGTTTTGCTCAGCTCTCACTTCACCACAACAGAGCGGTACACCATTCGAATTATAGCAGCAGCAGCACCCATTCGTTAATCGTTGAATTAGTCTTTGGCTCCATTCTCTGATGAAGGAACAAGACCCCGAGATGCTTGAACTCCTCCACTTAAGGTGGAAACTATCCTCACACCTGAAGGGGATAAGTCACCCTTTCTCAGTCAAGAACCATTGACTTGGACTTGAAAGAGTTGATTCTCATCCCAGTTGTTCCACACTTTACTGCAAACCATCCAAGTGCATGTTGTAGGTCTTGGCAGGAGGCAGCTCAAAGAAACCCATCGTCTGTGAATGTCAGGGCGAGATCCGCTGGTCTGCAAACCAGACCCCATCTGGCCCTTGGTTGCGCCTAGAAATCCTGTCCTTAAAGGTTATGAGCATGACCTGGAAAAGAAGGTAGCCCTGTCAGAGTCCATCATGCGCAGAGAACTATTTCGACTTAATGCTGACAATGCGGACCAAGCCCCTGCTTCACTTGTACAGAGACCAGATGGCTCCCAGTAAAGAGCCCCCAAAGCAACACTCCTGGAGTGCCCCCCACAGGGCACCTTGAGGGATACGGTTGCATAACGTCTCCAGGTACACAAAATGCATGTGCACCATTTGGGCAAACTCTCCTGTACCCTCCAGAACCCTGCAGAGAGTCCAGAGGAGGTCCACAGTTCCATGGCTGTAATGAAAACCACGAATCTCTTCTTAAAGTCGAGGTTTGATAACCAGCTGGACTCTCCTCTAAAGCACCCTGACATACAGTAGGCCTTCAAGGGGAGGCTGAGGAGTGTGATCCCTCTATAGTTGGAACACACCCTTTCAACTCCTGGTGAAAAGTCACTAATGATGTTCTCACAGATACAAGTCCATTATCCTCAGATAATGGACTTGTATCTGTACTCATCCTGTTGGAGCTCAGTGCTGCATTTGAGTTACGGTTGATCATAATATTCTTTTAGAAAGACTTGAATATTTTGTAGGAATTAAAGGAAAAGCACTAGACTGGTTTAAATCTTATCTATCTGATCGATTTCAGTTTTTTCACGTTGATGACAGATCTTCCTCATGCTCAAAGGTTACCAGTGGAGTACCGCAGGGATCAGTGCTAGGACCAATTCTCTTTACTATATATATATATGCTCCCAATCGGTAGAATGATTAGACAGCATGGGATAATTTCCAATGTTATGTTGATGATACCCAGCTATATCTGTCTATAAATCCAGATTACACAGATTACAGGCATCTCTTGAAGAAATAAAATCCCGGATGACTCTTAACTTTCTGCTTCTCAGTTATAGTCTTTGGACCAGAGTCTTTGAAAAATAAGCTGATTAGTCAGTCGTTTCATTTGGATGGGATTAAACTGATTTCAGATAATAAATAAAAAAATCTTGGTGTTGTTTTTGATCAGGACCTGTCATTTAAATCCCATGTTAAAGAGGTTTCTAGAAATTTCCTTTTTTCCTCTGCGCAATATTGCAAAAATTAGAAATATCCTGTCCAGGGGGTGATGCTGAGAAACTAGTCCATGCATTTGTTACTTCAAGGCTGGACTATTGTAGTTCTTTACTATCAGGAAGTCCACAAACTGTAGTTAAAAGCCTTCAGCTGAGTTAAAAAGAGAGATCATATCTCTCCTATCCTGGCTTCTCTTCATTGGCTTCCTGTTAAATCCAGAATAGAATTTAAAATCCTCCTTCTCACATATAAAGCCTTAAATGGCCAAGCTCCATCATATATCAGAGATCTGATTATTCCTTATGTTCCTAACAGAGCACTTCGCTCTCAAGCTGCAGGTTTACTAGTGGTTCCTAAAATTTCTAAAAGTAGAATGGGAGGCAGATCTTTTAGTTATCAGGCTCCTCTCCTGTGGAACCAATTACCAGTTTCAGTCCGTGAGACAGACACCCTGTCTACTTTTAAGGGTAGGCTTAAAACTTTCCTATAGGCTTAGACTTCTGGAGGACATAGGGTCCCCTATTTCATCATTCTGCTTCCTTCTATCTCTATTCTCCCACTCTGCAGAATCTGTTAGTTCAATCTCTAACGTTATGCTCTCTCTGCTTTTTCTCATAGTAGTTTTGCCTCGTCTGTTTGGCTGTGACACTATCCTGAAGAGAAATATCAGCCTGGTTCTGCCGGAGGTTTCTTCCTGTTAAAAGGGAGTTTTTCCTCTCCACTGTCGCTACAAGCATGCTTAATGTGAGGGATTGCATTCGAGTCAATGAGTCGATGCAATCAACTGGTTTTCCTTAAATAGAAAACGTTGAATCAGTTTGACTGGATGATCTGGTGAACTGTAAAGTGCCTTGAGATGAAATGTGTTGTAAATTTGTGCTATATAAATAAACTGAATTGGATTTTTAGATTTTATAGTGTAGATCTTGTTTTCGGTTATGTTGACAGCCATTAAAGTGTGGAAGAAAATGTAAGCAGTCACTGAGTTTAATGTATTACTGCAGTTATCAAACACAGGGAAATTGGTTCTGGTGGTCTTTTTAAAGGGATAGTTCGGGATTTTTGACATGAATCTGTATGGTATCCCCATCACCAGTGTCATGCAATCACACTGACTTACCCCTGGCAGCGTCCTGTGAGCAGAGTTCTGGTCCAGTTTTGGTCAAGCCGAAAGTAGTCCGGCAGGTTTGCTAGACCCAGCGAAATAAAACGTTTCTCTTCCCAAAACATTATGTGTTCAAAAGAGTGATATTTTTGCATCCCAAAAACATTGTAGTGGAAAAAGTCACACGTCGTTATCACTTGGTCCTATTTTCTCTCTGTTCGTATCAGTGCGCGCCGTCATTCTGACAGCGAGCTCAACTTTTCCAGCTCATTTCAGTGCTAACTTAGCAGCTGCGTTTACAAGCAACACCACCGAGCTAGCTTTAGAGCTAACCAAGTTCATTAGACATTTGAGGAGGGCAGGGAAGTCGCTGTTGTTTGTGATGCAGACAGCAGCTGCTGCAACTCCGACATCCTCATCAATGGAAAGGTTCCGGCTTCAGCTTCCATCACTTCTCTGTCCACCCTCTCTCTTTCTGCCCGATCTAACTCCATTTGTCGAAGTTCATCGTCAGTGTACTCGGGTTCATAAAGATATCCCTTTGGCTCTAAGTGGAAGTCGATGTTTTCCTCGTAGCTCTCGTAGTCAGACATCTTCCCCAGTAGTAAACAGTCGCGAATCAAACAGGTAGGCCCTAGCTGTCAGGTCATGGTGTCGCGCACACTGATACGAACAGAGAGAAAATAGGACCAAGTGATAACGACGTGTGACTTTTTCCACTACAATGTTTTTGGGATGCAAAAATATCACTCTTTTGAACACATAATGTTTTGGGAAGAGAAACGTTTTATTTCGCTGGGTCTAGCAAACCTGCCGGACTACTTTCGGCTTGACCAAAGCTGGACCAGAACTCTGCTCACAGGATGCTGCCAGGGGTAAGTCAGTGTGATTGCATGCCACTGGTGATGGGGATGCCATACAGATTCATGTCAAAAATCCCGAACTATCCCTTTAAGGTAATATAAAACATAAGAAAATGCAGATAAAGATTAAAAAGAATTAAATAAAATCCAAAATTCAAAGAGCAAAATCATCAGTCCAGTCTTTGTTTTTCAACATGAATCAATTTACTGATGTTTAACATTAAGCTATAGGACTATATCCATTAACTTTTGATTAAACTTGTAAAAATTTTTGTCTTTTTCAGTTGGTGGCACAGAAGTAGATGGCTACTCTAAAACTGAGGGTGCATGGGTTCTTTCTCTCCACAAAAGACAATACACTGTACACAATGTAGCCGACTGTGCAGTCAAATGTGACGCTGAAACATCCTTCATATGCAAGTAGGTTCCCAAATCATAAAATATGTCGTCTACAGTCTTTGCTGTAAGTTTAACGGTTGAATTCATGTCAATGTTGCAGAGCTTTTGCATATGTGGAGAAGGATGAGGAGTGTTGGACGGCAGCAGCAAATTCAAAGACGGAGCTTGTCCTGCGCAAACAGGGCTCGGCTTTATATGAAAAAAACAGCAAGTTCTCTACATTTTAACCCATTTTTTTAACCATATACCACATTTGTTCATGTTTGCTCTGTCTGCAAACACAGCAGAGATCAATGAGATCAAGTTAAACCCATTCGTTTGTGTTTTGGGTTTAATTACATGATTCACTGTGTAAAATTGCCCTGTCTTCTTTAGAATTCCTCCTGGAGTGTGTAAATGGAATTGGAGTAGATTACAGAGGGACCAAAGACCGAACGAAAACAGGAAAGCTGTGTCAGAGATGGGATGCCAAATTTCCACACAAACCCAAGTATTTATTCACGGAACTCTCTCCATTATATTGCTCCTATTGTCAGATTTTTCTCCCTAACTATTCCTTTTATGTTTTTAACCACAGTTACAAACCGCAGACTCATCCTCTCAAGGACTTGGACTCAAACTTCTGCAGAAATCCAGACTCTGATTCCCAAGGACCTTGGTGTTACACCACTGACCCAGAGACACGCTGGGAACACTGCAATGTCCCCAGCTGTACAGGTAGAGTTAATGCTGTTTCCTACAAGAGAAGCTTAAAGATCCCTTTTCAGATGTTTAATAAAGGTTGTATAAATGTTGGGGTAAAATACATATTTGAGGGCAAAGGTCTGTTTAAGATCACATATTCAGAAATGAAAGGCTTCCACAATGCCGACTGTTTATATTTGCTCTGCCGACTGTTTATTCACAGCACCAATTGTTTACATTTACATCTGCAATAACATACTTTAACTGAAATATGCAATTACCTTCCACTGCACTTTACTGTAATTTAGATAGCTTCTGGCCAAACTCTATTTATTCATTTTATAGTAAAACCCACCTGTGCTATTGCACATAACTGTAAAAACCTTTTTTTAATAGTAATATCCATCTGTATATTATATTCGGTACATATCCAACTGTAAATTTAGTTCATAACACTAGTGATCTATATATTATATTCATTATTTATAATAGTATTCATCTCTATACTCATTCAGTAGAAAACCCATTTCCTGTATTTATGGAACAATTATTTATCCTGCACTTGCTGCTATTGCACTTCTGGTTAGACCTAAACTGCATTTCGTTGTCTTGTACCTGTACATGTGTAATGACAATAAAGTTGAATCTAGTCTAATTTAAAGAATAGATGGAAAAAATATTACAAGCAATCTCTGACTGGCTTGTTTTAAAATGGTTGCAGAGGATTGTATTCACTGCAGTGGAGAGGATTACAGAGGAAAGACCTCCATCACTGAAAATGGTTTCACCTGCCAGCGCTGGGACTCCCAGAAACCTCACAATCATGGCTACAGCCCCTCAGCGTAAGACAGGACTAAAATTGTATTTTGTCATTATTATTAACTAGGTTTAATTAGTCTGGTTTCAAATATATATTTTAAGTGATAATGTAAATCTAAAATAATAATAATTTCTGTAGCCTTCCAGAAAAATATCTTGAGGAGAACTACTGTAGAAACCCAGATGGAGATCCGCGACCGTGGTGCTTCACCACCAGCACGTCCAAACGATGGGATTTTTGCTCCATACCACGCTGCAGTGAGTGCTGACATTTAATTCTCTCTGTTTAGTCTTTGCAACTACTCTTGCTCTTTGATACAGACTTTACCACAGAGAGTAAAACTTATGCTTTTTCACATTGTATAATGGGGTTTGTGTCATTGTCATGAGAACTATACATTTCCTTTGAATTGTGTCAGAAATGTGTTTATTAAACTAAAATAGTGTTAGAATATGAAATGGAATAAAGATGATGCAATGTTTTATAAGAGAGGTCTTCAACAGGGGGTCCCCTAGGGGGTCCACAGAGGTGCTGCATGGGGGTCACGAAAGTTTTGCAATTTTTCCCCCTTATTGAAATGTCTTTAAATACACATTAACATGAATTCACCAAACTGTTGCCGACCGATATATATGGCGCAGAAGATGTCTTTCAGTCATCAATGCACACATTCAGCGACACACAGGAGCTCTTTCAAGCACCTGACCCATCAACGAGGAATCAGAATCAGAAATACTTTAATAATCACAGGGCGAAAACAATTTTGGTTTTCATTACTCCGTATGTAATAAAGTGACTATAGGACCAGTTTGACATAACACAATTTCATGCAATATATATAATTAGGGGGTCGCCGCTCCATCTCGCCATTAGTTTGGGGGTCCTTGGCCTGGAAAACGTTGAAGACCTCTGTTTTATAAGATAAAAAACCTCAGTGTATTTGCAGTTCTTTCAATCTGTCCGTCCGTCCATCTGTCTGAAGCATTTTGTAAGATATCCTATACATGGGGACTTACAGGTACCTATGGGGACGTTCAACTGGTCCCCATATGTTCTGTCCTGTGAGTTGGGGTTAGATTTAGGGAGGGATTTAAGTGTGGAATTGCTTTCATAGCAGTGTGGAGACTTTGTTTTGTTTACACAGTCACGTCATGGGGACCTATGTCCTTATAGGGACCAAAATCCTGGTCCCCATATGGAAAAGTTCCCTTCTTTTAACCTGGGTTAGGTTAAGGACTAAGGTGTAAATTCAGTTCAGGTAGGGGTTAGGGTTAGGCATATGTTGGTAATAGTTAGGGTTAGGGTAAAGGTCTGGCTTAGGCCATATAAAAGGAATGTCAGTCAATGAAATGTCCCCATGAGTCATTTTTGTTCCTGAACAAAAATTATAATTAGTTTACAGTCTCCTTGTGAGTAACATATTAGGAATACATATAGCTTTTCTGATTGTGGCTTGAGAGGTTTGTTAGAGAACACCCAGCAGCATAAGACCAAGGAACACAGCAGAAGGATCAGTTAAGTTATATGGTAAAATCCAGAGTTTTGAAAATCTCACAGAGCTCTGAACAATCCTTCAGCTGATGATAAAAAAAAATGTAGGAACCAACTTCAAACCCATCGAAACATTGCTTCCAACCCTGACAAGCAGAGAGAGAATCAATCACGGATGCGGCTGTAAAACAATCGGTAAAACAAAAGACAAGATATGTGCCACAAAGGGTGTTATTTGGTAACATTCAATGTTTTTCTATTTACATGTACTTATGTTACAAGAGCATGGTATGCACTCGGAGGAATGTATTCCTATTCTCAACCTCCAAACTCTCAATGTTTTGTAGCATCGGAACCTCCCACTGTCATTCCTGAGATGACCTGCATCACTGGTGAGGGTCAAGCATACCGAGGAACGATTGCTGTGACAGAAAGTGGTAAAACCTGTCAGAGCTGGTCAGCTCAGACGCCTCATAAACACAACCGCACACCTGAAAACTACCCCTGCAAGTAAGAAAAAAAGAACTTGTTAAACAAGCGATGTTAAAATGTTTTAGAGGATTTTATTTCTACTCTTACTAGGTTTCCTTCAAAAAAAAAATAGCTGTTAAATATTTCATTTTTCCCTTATCTGTGTTCTTTTCCAGAGGTTTAGATAATAACTACTGCCGTAATCCTGACAATGAAAGGAAACCCTGGTGTTACACCACTGACTCTCAAACTCGCTTTGAGTACTGCAATGTGCCACGCTGCGGAGACTCTGCAGATCCAGGTATAACAGGATAAAAAAATATGTTATTAAAAAAAAAACCTTTAACTCTGAATGCATTTGGAGTTGGCATAAGAAAAGAAATTTGAATTTTTTTTTGTCTCTGTAAAGCTGAAGGTGTAGTTCCCCCTGAAGAAGAGGACTGCTATGAGGGGAACGGCAGTAGTTACCGGGGAATAACATCAGAGACCATCAGTGGGAAAAGATGCCAGTGGTGGATCTCACAGACACCTCACATACATGAAAAAACTCCATCAATTTTCCCCACAGCGTGAGTATAGAAAATTAACATGAGAAAAGGGAAATTAAGATGAAGTAGAAGTTCTTCTGCTTGAAAGCTGATCAACTTTATTATTCATGTGCATGCATGTATGCTTCTTTGCACTTGAACAACAAATCTGAGTGCTACACCAGACAGACTGTAAAAACAAAACATAACAAACATAAAATACAAAGCAGAGAGATGGACCTATATCTACAATTAGGGATGCAGTGATATAAGAATTATGATCTAATTTCCACACTTAGCATCAAGATGCCATTATGGATGACAACCCATAGTTCCAAAAATCATTGTTTTGGAAACAGGACTATGGACTGTTTTCCTTCTCTTTTAAAAATATGAAAAAAAAAGAAAGAAAAAAAACAACAACCACACAGCTGGCATTGGTCTTCTGCTTCATTTGGCGGTCGTTACAGCGCAGCACTTACTGTACATCCTGGGTGTGCTTTAAGTTCTTAAGTCCAAATCCCACAGTTGTTACTCTAAGTCAGGGGTCTCAAACCGGCTCCAGAAAGGCAAGGCAAATTTATTTGTATAGTACAATTCAGTACAAAGACAATGCAAAGACAATGCAAAGTGCTTTACATGATTAAAATATAGGAAAATAAAGCAGAATTAAAGCAAGTAGGGGAAAAAAATAAAATAAATGAAACAAAAAAATGCAGACTCCAACAATGTCTTTAACAACTTCTGTCAACCCTGTTGACTTTATAGGTCCCAGACCTATTTATTTCAAACACAACGTTGTTTTTTCAAACCACAAGATCCCTGACCTTGACACGATATGGTACCCACAAGATCCCTGACCTTGACACAATATGGTACCCACAAGATCCCTGACCTTGACACAATATGGTACCCACAAGATCCCTGATCTTGACATTACAAGATCTCTGACCTTGACACGATATGGTAACCACAAGATCTCTGACCTTGACACAATATGGTACCCACAAGATCTCTGACCTTGACACAATATGGTACCCACAAGATCCCTGACCTTGACACAATATGGTACCCACAAGATCCCTGACCTTGACACAATATGGTACCCACAAGATCCCTGACCTTGACACAATATGGTACCCACAAGATCCCTGACCTTAACACGATATGGTACCCACAAGATCTCTGACCTTGACACGATATGGTACCCACAAGATCTCTGACCTTGACGTGATATGGTACCCACAAGATCTCTGACCTTGACACGATATGGTACCCACAAGGTCCCTGATCTTGACACCACAAGATCCCTGATCTTGACACGATATGGTACCCACAAGATCTCTGATCTTGACACCACAACATCCCTGACCTTGACACGATATGGTACCCACAAGATTCCTGATCTTGACACCACAAGATCCCTGATCTTGACACGATATGGTACCCACAAGATCCCTGATCTTGACACCACAAGATCCCTGATCTTGACACGATATGGTACCCACAAGATCCCTGATCTTGACATCACAAGATCTCTGACCTTGACATGATATGGTACCCACAAGATCCCTGACCTTAACACGATATGGTACCCACAAGATCTCTGACCTTGACACGATATGGTACCCACAAGATCTCTGACCTTGACATGATATGGTACCCACAAGATCCCTGACCTTAACACGATATGGTACCCACAAGATCTCTGACCTTGACACGATATGGTACCCACAAGATCCCTGACCTTGACACAATATGGTACCCACAAGATCCCTGATCTTGACATCACAAGATCTCTGACCTTGACATGATATGGTACCCACAAGATCCCTGACCTTAACACGATATGGTACCCACAAGATCTCTGACCTTGACACGATATGGTACCCACAAGATCTCTGACCTTGATATGATATGGTACCCACAAGATCTCTGACCTTGACACGATATGGTACCCACAAGATCCCTGATCTTGACACCACAAGATCCCTGATCTTGACACGATATGGTACCCACAAGATCTCTGATCTTGACACCACAACATCCCTGACCTTGACACGATATGGTACCCACAAGATCCCTGATCTTGACACCACAAGATCTCTGACCTTGACACGATATGGTACCCACAAGATCCCTGATCTTGACACCACAAGATCCCTGATCTTGACACGATATGGTACCCACAAGATCTCTGATCTTGACACCACAACATCCCTGACCTTGACACTATATGGTACCCACGAGATCCCTGATCTTGACACCACAAGATCTCTGACCTTGACACGATATGGTACCCACAAGATCCCTGATCTTGACACAGTGTAACAGCCAAAAATGCAGAAACAAAAAAGAATATTAAAAACAGTTGGACTAAAGAAAATAAAAAGTTGAACTAATAATCTTTTAGTTGAACTGTTTAACTAGAACAGTCGAAGACAATCCTAAACAAATGTGTTTTTAGTCTTGATTTAAAGGAACTCAGGCTTTCCGCTCTTTTACAGTTTTCTGGAAATTTGTTCTAGATAAGTGGAGCATAGGAACTAAATGCTGCTTCTCCATGTTTAGTTCTGGTTCTAGGTATGCAGAGCAGGCTGGAGCCAGAAGACCTGAGTGGTCTGGAGGGTTGATACACTGATAGCAATTCTGTGATGTACACTATATTGCCAAAAGTATTTGCTCACCCATCCAAATTATTGGAATCAGGTGTTCCAATCACTTCCATGGCCACAGGTGTATAAATTCAAGCACCTAGGCATGCAGACTGTTTTTACAAACATTTGTGAAAGAATGGGTCGCTCTCAGGAGCTCAGTGAATTCCAGCGTGGAACTGTGATAGGATGCCACCTGTGCAACAAATCCAGTCGTGAAATTTCCTCGCTCCTAAATATTCCACAGTCAACTGTCAGCTGTATTATAAGAAAATGGAAGTGTTTGGGAACGACAGCAACTCAGCCACGAAGTGGTAGGCCACGTAAACTGACGGAGCGGGGTCAGCGGATGCTGACGCGCATAGTGCGAAGAGGTCGCCAACTTTCTGCAGAGTCAATCACTACAGACCTCCAAACTTCATGTGGCCTTCAGATTAGCTCAAGAACAGTGCGCAGAGAGCTTCATGGAATGGGTTTCCATGGTCGAGCAGCTGCATCCAAGCCATACATCACCAAGTGCAATGCAAAGCGTCGGATGCGGTGGTGTAAAGCACGCCGCCACTGGACTCTAGAGCAGTGGAGACGCGTTCTCTGGAGTGACGAATCGCGCTTCTCCATCTGGCAATCTGATGGACGGGTCTGGGTTTGGCGGTTGCCAGGAGAACGGTACTTGTCTGACTGCATTGTGCCAAGTGTAAAGTTTGGTGGAGGGGGGATTATGGTGTGGGGTTGTTTTTCAGGAGCTGGGCTTGGCCCCTTAGTTCCAGTGAAAGGAACTCTGAATGCTTCAGCATACCAAGACATTTTGGACAATTCCATGCTCCCAACTTTGTGGGAACAGTTTGGAGCTGGCCCCTTCCTCTTCCAACATGACTGTGCACCAGTGCACAAAGCAAGGTCCATAAAGACATGGATGACAGAGTCTGGTGTGGATGAACTTGACTGGCCTGCACAGAGTCCTGACCTCAACCCGATAGAACACCTTTGGGATGAATTAGAGCGGAGACTGAGAGCCAGGCCTTCTCGTCCAACATCAGTGTGCGACCTCACAAATGCGCTTCTGGAAGAATGGTCAAAAATTCCCATAAACACACTCCTAAACCTTGTGGACAGCCTTCCCAGAAGAGTTGAAGCTGTTCTAGCTGCAAAGGGTGGACCGACGTCATATTGAACCCTATGGATTAGGAACGGGATGTCACTTAAGCTCATATGTGAGTCAAGGCAGGTGAGCAAATACTTTTGGCAATATAGTGTATTTAGGTGCTAAGCCATTCAGAGATTTATAGACTAACAGAAGTATTTTAAAGTATATTCTCTGAGATACAGGGAGCCAGTGTAAGGATTTTAGAACCGGGGTGGTGTGCTCTACTTTCTTAGTCTTAGTGAGGACAGAGAAAGGGTCGTGTGGCTGTAGGCTTTCTTTCCAACCAAGCAATGGCACACCAGACTCCATTCATCTCATCAACTGAGTGCAGTCTGAACATGAGATGAATGGAGTCTGGTGTGCCATTGCTTGGTTGGAAAGAAAGCCTACAGCCACACAACCCTTTCTGGAACCGGTTTGTGACCCCTGCATCTAAGTCCTTCAGCAAGCTCCTTAGACCATTGCTTCATGGGCAATACACAGGAAGCACTGAAATGCTGCTAACCACATCTGTGTCAATTAAGTAATGTTTATATTCATACTTATATTTATCTTACCACTCTTACCTGTCATGTCCCGCACTTTATGTCAGTTTTTAAATGTTAGTCTTGTATATTTCTTGTATATTTGTATATTGCAGAGAGTAAACGTAATTTCATTTCCCTTGTATGTCTTGTACATATGTAGAAAATGACAATAAAAGCTGACTTGACTTGACTTAAGTCGTAATGACTTTACTTACCTGACGTTAGTAGAAATAATTGTTATGACTTACCATAGAGACCCCTGAAATGTATTACAGCTACAAGTATAAAGATCTAGGGTCTTGGTCCCACTCTATATCTCAAAGTTCAAATTTATTCCGAAAAAGCAGTTAAGGGTCTTGCTCAGGGACCCAGACTAGAGGCTGTGGGGATCGAACCGGGTACTTGAAACCTTCTTAGAGCACAAGCGCACTGCTCTAACCACTATGCCAACACTCCCGTACACACAGATATGCTAATATTTGTCAAGCATTGTTTAGGTAGATCTTTTATGCTGATGCCGACTGATGTTTACTACCAATTAGGTTCAGTTTAGGTCTAATAAATGGGTATTGAATAATATTGCTCTGAATGCATATCTTTTCTATGTGTTTGCACACACTCAATTGTTCTCCTTTAATAGGGACCTCAGGAGAAATTTCTGCCGGAACCCTGATGGAGACACAGCACCCTGGTGTTACACTACTGACCCCAAAGTCCGCTGGGAGTATTGCAACCTTCAAAAATGCTCTGCCAGGCCCGTAGTACCAGACCCATCTGCAAGCAGTCCTCAGGCCACACAGACTCCAACAGAGAGAGGTGCAATTGTTGTTTTCACCCTATCCTTGTCATATTTCTGCACCTTTATCAATGATTGAATCTGCTTTTCTGTTATTGTGTCAGACTGCAAGGTTGGAAATGGAGCGGCTTACAGAGGCCCGACTTCCATGACAGTCATGGGTGTGACTTGTCAAGCTTGGAGTGCTCAGAGCCCACATGCACACAACAGTTTCACACCAAACACTCACCCAGATAAAGGTCTGGAGGGAAATGTAAGTTTGTTTTAAGTTTCAGACATTGCCTTGCAAAGCTTTTGATTTCTCTTCAACCTTTCCAGATTTGCACAGAGTACAACCAAAAGCCACATTGTGTTTTTATTGTGAATTTAAATCATGAAAAAGCTCAACGTACTTCAGTATTGAGAAGTAGAAGGAATGTAGGCATGGTTTATATAACATCCTAGAAAAAAGGTTTGTAGCTCAGGTAGAGAATTAGCTAGTAGGACGTTACTCTTCCACTTAATGGGGGTATCTAACTCAAGACCTGCAGGGATGGTTTACTGCTTCATTTGAGATGTGTCTTTAAAAAGAGTTGATTCAAGTTCATCAATGAGCTCCTTAGCATGGCATCAAGTTGGTTAAGAACCTGGTAATGACCCCCTTATTTGATTAAGGCGCATTGGACCAGGAAAGTATCTAAACAACAGGGACATGAATCATCAAATCTTTCCCCAAGAGAAAGGATAAGAAAGCTACTGCTGAAATAAAGCCATAAAAAGTCACGTTTAAAAATTGTCTAATGCCATCTAGAAATATAGACCAAATATACAGAAGGCAGTACTCTGCTTAGATGAGATCCAGACAGAAATATATGTGTAAAGCAATGTATGGTTAAATACTGACACTGCAGATCATCATGACATACGGTAGTGGCAGCATCATGGTGTGGGAATGCTCATCCACAGCAGGGACAGCAAAGCTGATTAGAGTTGAGAACAGGGCTGCATATCTGACAATCCTGGAGGAAAACCGCTACTTTTATATTTTTGTCATAAAATCCAGCAAACATGTATAGTGTGCTTTGTTTGTAACAAAAGAATGTGTGAATATGTGCACTCGTTCTTTCAATCTACATCAGAGCTGCAGAAACCCGGATAACGATGTTAACGGACCATGGTGCTACACCACTGACCGCAACAAGAAGTGGGACTACTGCCAGATCCCTGACTGTGGTGAGTGCATTTTATTTTACAGCTCTATTTAACAAAAATTACTAAATGGGCTTACATAAACAAGCAGAAACTCTACAGTTCTTGTGTCACGAAGTGACACGAAGATTTAAGTGGATATATTCTATTTAATGTGATTATCAGTGAGGCAGCAAGCATCTGGTATATATATATATATATATATATATATATATATATATATATATATATATATATATATATATATATATATATATATATATATATATATTGAATATTTTGAATGATTTCCTGAGAATATGGAATGAAACTTGAATATTTTGAATGATTTCCTGAGAATATGGAATAAAACTTGAATATTTTGAATGATTTCCTGAGAATATGGAATAAAACTTGAATATTTTAAATGATTTCCTGAGAATATTGAATGAAACTTGAATATTTTGAATGATTTCCTGAGAATATGGAATGAAACTTGAATATTTTGAATGATTTCCTGAGAATATGGAATAAAACTTGAATATTTTGAATGATTTCCTGAGAATATGGAATAAAACTTGAATATTTTAAATGATTTCCTGAGAATATTGAATGAAACTTGAATATTTTGAATGATTTCCTGAGAATATTGAATTAAACTTGAATATTTTGAATGATTTCCTGATAATATGGAATTAAAACTTTAATATTTTGAATGATTTCCTGAGAACATTGAATGAAACTTGAATATTTTGATGATTTCCTGAGAATATTGAATTAAACTTGAATATTTTGAATGATTTCCTGAGAATATGAAATGAAACTTGAATATTTTGAATGATTTACTGAAAATATTGAATGGAACTTGATTATTTTGAATGATTTCTGACAGGTTTTTTTGGTGGAGGGTTTTGTTTCTATTTATGTTCAGGTATATTTAGTTAGTTAGGGAATTTTTGTTTGGTTAGGTTGATGTTAACTAGATTCTTTTGTATGTATTGGGTTGATTCATTTATTGTTGTTTGTCACATTGTCTGAAATTAATTCCTATTTATCCATCGATTAATTTAAAAAAACAATAAAAAAAACATCCCTTTTACTAATTGCCACTGTGAAACTTACGGTCTGTAAACTTTGTTGCTAGCTGGAATGGACTGCGGAACGCCAGTTGTCAAACCAATGCGCTGCTTTGGCCGTGTTGTTGGGGGCTGTGTGTCCAAACCTCACTCCTGGCCCTGGCAAATCAGCCTTCGAACAAAGTGAGTAGAATAAATATAAATGATAAAATATGACACGAAAGACCTTGCTAAAAAGATAAAATAAGATGTGTGTATTTATTTTTCTAATTCCATCTTCCAACTAAATTATTAAATAACCAAGATTTTGTATCTTTATGCTAAGATGCTGAATTTAAAAAAAGCAACATAACTTGAATGCAATTGAATGTATAAATTACACAAAACGTATATATGCATTTCACCTGATATTGATATTATTGATATCTGATATTCTAATAGTTTAAATATTTAAATCTAAGCATTTACCATCGGTGTTGAAGCTTATGTTGTCTCCTATTTCATCAGTGGAGGAATCCATTTCTGTGGGGGGACTCTGATTCACCCTCAGTGGGTCCTCACTGCTGCACACTGCTTGGAAAGGTCACAGTACTGCAACCAAAACATACTATTATAGAGCAAATTCTGTTATCAAAAATAACATACTAGAGGAAAGGTTTTCATGTTTGGACATGCTCTGCTTCTGCAGGTCCAATCGGCCCTCCTCCTACCAGGTATTGCTGGGGATCCACACGGAAAGGGCTAATGAGGAATCCAAACAAGTGAGAAGGCTTGAAAAACTGGTGCTGGGACCAAATAGAGCTGACATTGCTCTCCTAAAGCTGAGCAGGTTAGTACAAGTCTAATGGTAATTGTGTGATAACACAGTGTGATGTTAGGTTTAGTACTGTATGTAGTATTTAGTATAATAAAATGAATCCAGTGCTGCTCAGAACACTGTCAAGCCGGAACTGGAAAGTGAGGGGAAGACACTACGGTTAGTTCAGGCTCAGTGGGAAATTAGAATCTTTGACTTGAGGAGGAGGAATAGGTTGCAGACTCACATTTCCAGAAAAAAGGTGTCTTTATTGAATCCAGTCTGTGTGGGATGTTCCAGTGATTGTCTTGTTTAATGAGGGGATGGACAGGGTTTACCCAGACTGCGGTTGGTTGTTCCTTAGTGAACGGAGAAGCTGACTGGCACTTAGATTTCCTGCAGTCCTTGAACGGGTTATTGTGGAGATGAGTCCCCTGCTCAGAGAGAATCCCCAGACAATCCTTGGGGGAAAAGGTTGATCCAAACCACAAACTTGAATCCTTAGCTCAGTTTGGTTCTCAGAAGATCCTTCCAGGGGAGAGAAGGTCCGAAACATCCAGTTTGCAGGATGACCCCCGGCTCACACTGACTCCGGTCTTACCGTTGCGCAGTGATTCCAAGTCATTAAAAAGATGTAAACCTCTCTCACCGGCTGCTGAGCTGTCCGGCTGCGGTTACCGAGACACTCCGGCGCTGCAGAAAATTCAGCAAGAAAGCTATCCTTGCAGCGTGCCGGAGCCCTCCGCAACAAGTTCTTGCAAATATCCTTATTTGGGCCGTGTTATCGCGTGAAGTTACGTGAACTCAAGTGAACTTCTGTTCTCGCGAGTTAAATCTCCGGACCTGTTGCCGGAGCCGCAGAGCCGCACCGCACCGTAGTCAAAAGGGCGGTGTGAGAGGGGGTGTGCGGGAGTTGCGGTCTCCGTCGGCTCGGTAACCGCACCGGAGCCAGTGTTAGCAAGGGGTGACTTCCTGCCGAAAGGCAAAGACAAAAAACAGCAAGATTAAGCTCAGGTAAAAAACTCAGTTTGACTCAGCAAACTCAGCTTGGCTAGAGTAACCAAAAACTAGCAAAACAAAGACTCAGGTTAGACTCTGCTAAACTAAGCATGGCTAGAGTACCCAGTATTGGCAAACACTCTAGCGTCGAGGTAATGGCAGTCAGCAGCTTAATAACACTCCACAGGTAATGAGGCAACGAGCTGCAGGTGCGTAGGGAGGCCCAATGAGGACGGGGCACCACCTGGTGGAGGAGGAAAGGAAACACCAAGACAGACCACACAAACTGGATTACTGACAAGCTCTGACCTTTGACCTTTGACCTGATTGTGCTTCTTTCCTCAAATCTCACTGTCATTTCCTTCTTTATATCACTCTTTTTTTTTCCCAAAGAAGTATCAAGATTTATTATTTTACATTATATATAATATAAACATATTATAGTATATTTTTGGTCAATTAATGTACAATTCAAGGACTGCAAGTGGTTTTTGGACAAATATAGGATAAGTTATTAAAGTAGATTATAACCAGTAATATAATACTGAAATTATTATTTGGATGTATCTAATCTAGGATCAATTAAGTAATAGGTTTATTTGTTTCTCTCTGCATTTATAGCCCAGCTCTCATAAATGACAAAGTGATCCCTGCTTGTCTGCCAGAGAAGGATTACATTGTTCCCAGTGGAACAGAGTGTTACGTCACCGGCTGGGGGGAGACTAAAGGTAAGTCAACAGATGTGTGTGTCCTTTTTTAATTTTGGTCAAATAGTCCAAACCTCCTTTTACCAAGATGTAAAACATCTAAGACATTTTTCAGAGATGAATATCAGGTTAAAAACAAAATTCAGCTTTTGCTTAAATGAGATTAAATGAGAGCTGTAAAGGCACCATGAATTATTAGTAGGTGCCTAAGTATTGCACGTAAAGTCTGATTGCAGTTTCGTAAAAACTGTTTAAACATAAGGGGAAACATCTTTAGTAGTATTGCTTAAGTAATTTATGTTACAGATACTGGAGGTGAAGGTCTCCTGAAAGAAGCTGGATTCCCTGTTATTGAGAACAGAAAATGCAATCGGCCAGAGCTCCTGGACGGACGGGTTAAAGACCACGAGATGTGTGCAGGAAACCTTGGCGGAGGAGTCGACAGCTGCCAGGTAAAGAAAACTAGCATCACTGTGGGGTCAGCTTTATGACTGGCTATTGCATTGATCACATTCTTGCAATAAACTAGTTTGCATAGTTAGCAGACTTAGCTTAGTATTTTAGTAGATTTAGTTTGGATTTTAGTTCCTGTAGAATAAACTTTTTCTTCAAAGGCTGGAATTTTTAAAGTATATTTGCACAGTCCCAAACATGACCCAGAAGTCTTATCATTTGTTTAATATCTACCTAATTGTACTCTATAAAGATCTATGTATAACATATAAATATGTTTTAATGTTTTGTTAGGATAGACTCAATTAATCAACATTCTAACTTTATTATTTAATCTGGTCTCAGTCAATTTACTCTTCCAACAAGAAGCAGATGGCTTGTTTATGACTCATTCGACATTAAACAAGCTAAAATACCTTCATATACACAAACATCGAAGGATGTAGAAGAAACAAGCAGATTAATCTAAATGTTTGTTTGCTTTGTCAATTAACCCACACATATTTATTTCTAGTTCCACAGTGCAATCATTAAGACTGGGAGACTTTTTATATGTGTAGAGAAATACGTTTATGGCATGTTTAGAAGAAAATTGGGGAATTCTCTTCATGCAGTATTTAAGCCTTCTCTGCTATTATTTAAGAATTCACATTTTTCTTGTAGAAGAGTAGAACACATGCTGGGCATCGTTAAGGATCATGATTTTAAATTCAGTTTTCAATTCAGTTTATTTCTATAGCGCAAATTCACAACATGTCATCTCAAGGCTCTTTACAGTTCAACCAGATCATACAGTCAAATTGGTTCAAAGTTTTCTATCTAAGGAAAACCAGTTGATTGCATTGACTCAAATACAATCCCTCACACTAAGCATGCTTGTAGCGACAGTGGAGAGGAAAAACTCCCTTTTAACAGAAAGAAACCTCCAGCAGAACCGAGGCCAAGGCCGACTGGGGTTCAAGGAGACATAAGCAGAGATACAAAAAAACAACTGTGTACTTTTCTTGGACTCCAAGACTGTTCTATTTTTTATAGAGATATGAGGAAAAAAATATTTCTGCAGCGCAAAATTATCTTTTATCTATCTATTATTAAACTACAAATACTGACATTAAATATAAAAAGTTTACATTAATTCAACACAACCTGAAAAAAAAATATATATATATAAATATATATATATATATATATTAGCGGTGGAACGGTTCACAAAATCCACGGTTCGGTTCGATTCACGGTTTCGTGGTGACGGTTTTCGGTTTGATTCGGTATATGTTGATTGTTACACCAAAATCCCATAAAAATTAATGAAATTAATGAAAAAATCCCCCAAAAAATAATGGATTGTAATTATTTTAAATGATCCGCGGAAACCCTGGATCATTTCCGTATGTTTTGCTGCTTTGAATTTAATCATCTCACGCATGCCCTCTACGATCTCCAAGGAACTCAGAGGGAAGCGGACAGGAGCCACAGTGGAGACTGTAGGCTTTGCTTTGAGCAGCCGGTCTGGAGCGCAGCGGGGGTTGCTGACGGAGTATGAGGGATTTCGGGGTTAGCATGACATGTTGGTCATGTTGCTGTTAGCATAAACAAAACGTGTTGCACAATGCTTGCACACAGTTGCACTTTTATCCACAACTTTCTTTCCGCCGTCATCGTAGGTCACTCTAAATGCCACCTTCTGCTCTGAAGAGTAAACGCTTCGCCTATGAGAAAAAGGAGCAGGGCATGAACCGAACGAAACACACACGAATCGAACCGAGACAGTCGAACCAAACGGTTAGGACAGTTTTCATAAATCGTCCCATCCCTTATATATATATATATATATATATATATATATATATATATATATATATATATATATATATATATATATATATATATATATATATATATATATATATATATATATATATATAATGAAAGTAAGGAAAAGGCTTGAAAAAAATGTTGGCATTCCAGCCGAAAAAAGTAGAACCGAAAACATAGTATCTCCAATAAATAACAGACGGTAATATTGGAATCAAGTAATATCTAGTAACAAGAAGCCAACAAATTAACCACAAAGTAGCACAGATCTGATATTTTCTTTACTATCAGTTATGCTGTTCATATGCTTCACAGTAGAATAAATAATCCATCCCCATAAAATAGTCCCTGTTAACTCAGATCCTGAAAAAAATCTTTTCAGATCAAATTTCAAGTGAAATTCAGCATGATTAAAATCTTATGTGAACATGGATGTGATATTTTATTTTATGTTTTTGTCCTGAAACAGGGTGACAGCGGAGGTCCTCTGGTGTGTTACGCACAGAATAAGTTCATCATTCAGGGTGTGACATCATGGGGTTTGGGGTGTGCCAACGCCATGAAACCCGGAGTCTACGCTCGAGTCTCCAAGTTTGTGGACTGGATTGACAGAACAATAAAGGCCGATTAAAATCTTCCACTAAAAAATATGAGTGGTGGACGAAATGAAACGAAATGCAGAACTGAGGCTTTTTCTTTCTGTAATGGCATTAAATAACAAATATCTAGAGGGTATCTGAGTTACATACTTGATCGCAAATCAATTAATAAAAAATATTAAATGCTTATTGAATTGCCTGAATAAATAACAGAAACTTTATAATGTTTTTGTATTCAAATGTCCGTTCATTTTTATTTCCACCTTAATTTGTGTAAGAGAAGTTTTTCAAAGGGATAATAGAATCAAAAGTAAAAAATATTACATGTATGTCATTGAGTTTTATATAAAAGCATTGGCAAGCAGATCTTTTTTTTTATCAGAAGAACATATACAGGTAAAAGCAAGTAAATTAGAATATTTTGAAAAACTTGATTTATTTCAGTAATTGCATTCAAAATGTGTAACTTGTACATTATATTTATTCATTGCACACAGACTGATGCATTCAAATGTTTATTTCATTTAATTTTGATGATTTGAAGTGGCAACAAATGAAAATCCAAAATTCTGTGTGTCACAAAATTAGAATATTGTGTAAGGGTTAAATTTTGAAGACACCTGGTGCCACAAACTAATCAGCTGATTAACTCAAAACACCTGCAAAGGGCTTTAAATGGTCTCTCAGTCCAGTTCTGAAGCCTACACAAACATATGGAAGACTTCAGATTTGACAGCTGTCCAAAAGGCGACCATCGACACATTGCACAAGGAGGGAAAGACACAAAAGGTTATTGCTGAAGAGGCTGGCTGTTCTCAGAGCTCTGTGTCCAAACACATTAAAAGAGAGACAAAGGGAAGGAAAAACTGTGGTCAGAAAAAGTGTACAAGCGATAGGGATCACCGCGCCCTAGTCAAGATTGTGGAAAAAAAACCCATTCTAAAATGTGGGGGAGATTCACAAGGAGTGGACAGCTGCTGGAGTCAGTGCTTCAAGAGACGCTTGAAAGACATGGGTTTCAACTGCCGCATACCTCGTGTCAAGCCACTGTTGACCAAGAAACAGCGCGAAAAGCGTCTCACCTGGGCTGAGGAAAAAAAGAGCTGGACTGCTGCTGAGTGGTCCAAAGTCAAGTTTTCTGACGAAAGCACATTTTGCATTTCCTTTGGAAATCGAGGTCCCAGAGTCTGGAGGAAGACAGGAGAGGCACAGGATCCACGTTGCCTGAAGTCTAGTGTAAAGTTTCCACCATCAGTGATGGTTTGGGGTGCCATGTCATCTGCTGGTGTCGGTCCACTCTGTTTCCTGAGATCCAGGGTCAACGCAGCCGTCTACCAGCAAGTTTTAGAGCACTTCATGCTTCCTGCTGCTGACCTGCTCTATGGAGATGGAGATTTCAGATTCCAACAGGACTTTGACACGGTGCAAAATCTACCTGTGCCTGGTTTACAGACCATGGTATTTCTGTTCTAAATTGGCCAGCCAACTCCCCTGACCTTAGCCCCATAGAAAATCTGTGGGGTATTGTGAAAAGGAAGATGCAGAATGCCAGACCCAAAAACGCAAAAGAGCTGAAGGCCACTATCAGAGCAACCTGGGCTCTCATAACACCTGAGCAGTGCCAGAAACTCATCCACTCCATGCCACGCCGCATTAATGCAGTAATTGAGGCAAAAGGAGCTCCAACCAAGTATTGAGTATAGTACATGCTCATATTTTTCCTTTTCATTCTTTTCAGTTGGCCAACATTTCTAAAAAATCCCTTTTTTGTATTAGCCTTAAGTAATATTCTAATTTTGTGACACACAGAATTTTGGATTTTCATTTGTTGCCACTTCAAATCATCAAAATTAAATGAAATAAACATTTGAATGCATCAGTCTGTGTGCAATGTATAAATATAATGTACAAGTTACACCTTTTGAATGCAATTACTGAAATAAATGAAGTTTTTCAAAATATTCTAATTTACTGGCTTTTACCTGTATATGATTTAAAGTGTGGTTAAAATTATGATCTAGAAGGACTTTTATTGTAATGAACCTATGAAAAATATAATTATAGTAATTAAAATAATTTCCTGTAAATTCTTAAATAAATCTAGTCATCAAATTTGTAATTTCTTTACTTTCACTTGTATTTAGACTTCTTGCACATGGTACTTATATGTTTTTTTTTTTCAATGAACTTGGAAAAAAAGTAAATAAAAAGGAGTGAAAGGCAAAATGTTTGGGAGCAGCCAAGATAATGTTGAACATATTTGACTTTGGTCAACTTCAAACTGAACAAAGGATGATTTTATTTTAAACAGACAAGATCAAAAGTTAAGATATATTATCAGGTCTAAGCACCTAAAACATCATACATACATACAGGGAAAGAAAGAAAGCACAGAGACAATTAATTTAGTTACTCGCGAGGAGAATAGGAAGGAGACTGCAGAGTTTACAATCTCCACCCCACTCTGCAGTCTTCAGCTTTCTCCTTGCTATTTATTGAAGAAAAGGGGATGTCCCTAATTACACCAACTGAGGTTTAACTAAGGGAAAAGGGAAACAAAAGGATCTTACTTTAAACCTCAGCATATATGTTAAAACAAAGCATGTGGTTGTTTTACAATTGAATTGTTCCAAGAACACATGTTTAGAAGAAACATATGATAGAGGATTTTCAGGTCTCTTTTACTACCCGTCCGTTGCATCACCTTTATCTGGAATAATCTTAAGCAAGAGTTAATAAAAGATGAATCACACATTATACATCATAATAGTTCATTAGAACACAACCCATGAAACACAAAGAAAGTAAGAGTATAAATAAAATATTTCTAACATATATTCACCTATCTTTAGGAGTCAGAAGTTAAATATTGAAGCAGACGGCTTCTTGGGTAGGAAGGCGCCCCAGTCCACCATGGACCCAGGGATGTGTTATCAAGAAGAAACATGAGTAGAGTGGGAGCAGTGGAATAATGAGTCAAAAGGAAGACATTTATATCAGATTCAAAAGTTTATTGGAAAGGAGAGGAAAAGATATGGAAATAGGAAAAAAGATATAATTATTTCAAGGCTAAGAATAGGTCACACAGCATTAAACTACAGTCTTTTTAAAATAGGGAAACATGAAATTGTGACAAATGCAGAGATCCAGAAACAGTACAACATATTATTTTTGAGTGTACTGCGTATGTAAGGGAGAGAATGAAGTTCATACAAGAGTTGAGAAAAATAGGGATTAATGGGAATTCGATAAAAGTATTGTTAGGAAACGAGATAAGAAACACAAGAGTTAATGAAATATTATTCAAATATCTAAAAGATACAGGAACAATGAATAGGATTTAGTTATAGGATTCTTTTTTTTTTTTTTTGGGGGGTATAGCGCAGTCTTCCAAAATTCTGCACTCCACACTCCAGATCAGTAGGTGGCGGAAATGCACCTTTTACGTTGGCCTGCCAATCCGCCATAAAACAGAAGAAGAAGAAGAAGACGAAGAAGAAGAAGAACAAGAAGAAGAAGAAGTCACATCCTTTGCTTCTTTTCCAGGCATGACCCCATCAAGGCCTGATGTGGGCCGTTAAGATTTGCTGTATGATGTAAAAGGCTGATGTGGCATAAAAACAGTCTTATGTCTGTTTTTTGTTCAAAGACTCTTTGTTTCCTAATTCAGAATAAACATGTAAGAAATTATAGGGGGATAATAAACATCAATCTACTATTGATATAAACTTCAGACACCATAGCAGTAATAGTAAAGTGATCAAATATTTGGACTCTCATAAAGTGAAGATCCATTAGATGATTGATCCATCAGGAAGGAGCGAATCTGAAAGAATGCTGACTGACAGCTGGTGCCTATCTCCCGCTGTCTACGGGTGAGAGGCGGGGTCCACCCTGAACAGGTCGCCAGTCCATCGCAGGGCAACACAGAGAACAAAAACAATAAAAACATAAAAAACTAAAACAAAAAATCATTTCATATACAGGTTTATTTTTTGTACATAAGTCTTGCCCTTCAGAGGCTCTGTGAAGGAAAGTCTGTGTTTTGCATGATCCAATATTGTGTCAAAAACCTAAAAAAACAATGTACCAGTTTAATAATGGAGAAGCTATTAGCCAGCTTTATACTTTTTCTATATTAAAAATATATATTTTCTGATAATGTGTTTATTTAAGAGCAAATATGCAAATTAACAAACACCTAGAAAAAATACACTATGTTATATTATTTTCCATGTGAATCCCAGATTGTTCATTCTTTGCCTTTTCTAAAAAGTGCTTTAAATCTGTCCTATCCGTCTTTAACCATGCTGGGTCTGACTTCTGAAAAAGGAGGCAGGTAGTAAAGGCAGCAGAATAAAGCATTAACCTCGCTGCATGCAGTTAGCCAAGCCTTGTAGCTAAACCAGGTCTTGGAAAAATACTGAGTGCACCGTCTCCCTGTCTTTGGACTGCTGATTAATTTTGACGTTCAGCTGATCAGGTCCAAACAGTTTCACCTCCAGCTTCTCTTGGTAAGTTTGCTTTGAGGGATTTTACTTCCGCGACTCGACCTGTCAGTTAGCTGCACTACGACTGTGACGACAGTTACTGCCGCCTCACGATGCACCTCTCGTGTGCCCTGAGCAGAGGAGCTTCTGCACATGTAAAACTTTTAACGAGAGTCAATGGGTAAAGATTTTTTCACACTAGGGCGGATATATGTCACCAATCCAACGAAAAAATGAAACAGCTTTACTCGTCTTTAAAGATTAAGTATTTATCTTGCTGATCTAAAAATTTATATATCAATATATTTCAAAATATTTTAATTTTATGATTGAATTTTAATTTGTTTTTTTATGTCTTAATCAAGGACATTGGGTGGGTGGGGCGGTGACATAGCTCCTTCTATTGGCCGGCCACCATTGATATATAAATATATATATTCATTATTATATAGTTAACTATTATATATATTATAAGTTAATTATTACATAATGAATCGAGTTCATTATATAACAATGAACTGGATTCACTGCAGAATGATGACATGACAGGATGATGTCTCAGATATGCATTAACAGCAACATGGGAAGTGTATATTCTGGAAAGCGACTCGAAGCCAAAACACAGGATATACAAACACAAAATTAATGAAAATTGTTAGTCCAACCTCACAAACAACAAGGTACAAAGCTGACATTTAATCGAATCAATCCAAAACAAATTAAAAACCCTGCATACCTGCATCGCTCAAGGTAAAATGTTAAGGATCTGATAAAGCCCTATCTGACAAAACTCAACTACACAAAAAATATATAATACAATCTGAACAAAAACAAATTTATAGAGCCTACCTGCACAATTGAATAGCCACACGCCTACACTGGAAAAACGATCTAGAAATAAGTAAAAAAATTCTTAAATTTAGTGTATTTATCCTTAATTTGAGTAGGTAAATGAGATAGTTTGCCAATGGAATGAGTATTTTTACTCTTAAAATAAGATCATTAGATCATATGCACTTGAAATAAGAAAATGCAATTGTGTTTTCTTTTCTTAAGTGTAAATTGTCTCATTCCATTGGCAAAATGTATCTTTTATCTCCTCAATCCAAGAAAAAATGCCCTTATTTTAAGAAAAAAACTTCTTATCTTTCAAATTTTTCCAGTGTAGGCAATGCTACAATAGCAACCTCAGTGTGGCTCTGTGTGAAAACACCACATAAGCACATACTACATAAAAATAATCAATTTAAACCAGTTTTCCTCCAAACCTACCACGCTCACCACACAAAAGAAAGCACACAGCTGGTCACACACCCTAGAAATTAAGACCTGGCCATCACCTTGCCAGCTTCCCTTTTATGGGAGCTTCGGCTGTCAAGAGGGCGCCACCTTGTGGTACCAACTGTTAAATGATGGTTCCAATTTTCATCCTTTCAGCTTGCCCTCATTGATTTTGAACTTATTCTTAGTTATTACTTTAAATAATATTACTTTAAATCTTCTAGGTAGGTGAAGAGTTTGTTGGACAAAATAGTCTGATTGTAAGAGGGAACTATTTTGTTCAATCAAATTAAACATGCAAAGGGATATGAGTTTCTGCCTGTTTATTGATGAGAATGATTTGCTGTCTCTGAAAGTCAGTTCTCAAAACATTACTTTTAAAGTCGAGTGCTTGATAATTAAGCTTTTCAGGTTTTTCATTATTTATTCATGATAATTACAAATTTTATAGTTAGTAACCCAGTAATAATCTCAGTGTAATTTATTATTATTATTATTATTATTATTATTATTTATTGTGATTTTGGTATAATGATAACTTAAATAGATTTTCATAAACAAATAATCCTAATATAACAACAATAGAATATTAAGCCCAAAAGGTTTTAGGAGCAAATTCCGCCTTAAAATTACATATGTGAATAAAACAGTGCAGCACCCAAACTATAAATTGGAAATTCAATTGTTTGTGTTTGCATGACAGAAAGGCATTGATGAATATTTTTTAGGTGGAACCACTATTCCATTTGTCACAATATATGATTTCTAGGGGCTTGTTACGACCCGGCTCAGCCAGGGAAAAGGGAAGTAACATTAAAGAAACCCTGGTGGTAAGGTTTTAACAATTTAAGGATTTATTGTTTGGAGTTTCTCACAAAATAATAATAAAAAAAGGGTAACAATTAATAATCAAAACGTAGGGGGACTCTCAACAACAGAGTATTAACTAAAACAAAATCCACAAAACAGAGGTGTAAATCAAAGAACTTAACCAAACAAAAATGATCTCTCAAAACAAGTTAAACTAGGGTGACCATATTTTCATTTGGGAAAACCAGGACACCTTGGAGCGGTTAACAAAAAAAAAAAAAAATTAACAAAAAATACCTCTTGTGTAGCAAAAACGTACCAAAAACGAACAAACATATCAATAGACTATCTTTACTTTCTGTTTCCAGGTGGCTTTTCAGATTTCTTGCACCTCCATTGGACACCGAGACATATGTGCCTGCTTTGCACACTGTGCACAAGGCCTCCCGTTTGTCTCGACCCGGTCTGAAAGCGGGGAAACTCTTTTGTAAATCGTCGGTAAACATACATTTGCGCTTTGGCATGTTGTTGGCGTACTGACAGCCACGCTATCTATATTCTGATTAAGAACAGGGCTGCCCGCACTGCCGCGGCTCAGGGATTACGTTGCACGCAGCGCCGTGCGCAGTGCCCTAGTGCCTGTAAATTTAACGGTCCAATTAAGGTAATTTAAAAAATCAGGACGTTTCAAAGTTCCCCCACCGGGACAAAACGAGTTACACAAGATATCAAGATTAACAAAATCTGTTAGAGCGGACTAAGCTATCAAAGCTAACACAAGTTTTACAGCAGTCAAACCTACACCCCACAAAATGGCAAGCTGTCTGAACAAAGGATCAGCCGAGCCTTCCCCTAGGAAGTCCTTTGGTTTTAAATGGATGCCTCAACAATGATTGGTGGAGCCGGCAATTGGTGATCCAATCACGGTAGGCCCCAAGGTGTGTCACAGGAAAACATCCGCTTCCAGGTGAAGTCAATTTGATCAGGCCTCTGAAAAAAAAAAGAAAAAAAACACAAACACAGAAAAGGCCACTGGCCGTAACAGGGCTTAAACAAAGCAAAAATGAAAAATGTTTAGCTTTGCTAGTATTTTTTCTGAAATAAACACAGCAAAACACCATGAAAGCCCATTTGAAACACTGGTTGAAACTTCAGATTTTATAGATCCACATTTTGACTATAACTCAAGCAAATTTGGACTGAAAAAGTTTAAGCATCTTTGTTCCACAAAGGTTTTAGTGGGCAGTGTGCCAGGCAGAAATATAATTTTGGCACAATGCCAAAAGTGCAAAAATGCATTTTCCTACTCATAAAAGGGAATCTGGCCCAAAAAAGTTTGCTGATTTACATCATTGGATACCTTCTGCATAAGACAAAGCCTTTGCTCCTAGGATTTAGCCCCTGTTTTATTGAAATTTACCAATGATATCACAAAACTGAATAGAAAATAAGAATAACAGAGCAAGCTTATGTAACACATGCCAGTTACATCACCTGACATGGTCGCACAATTACCTCCAACCCCTCCTTGGAATGATGCCGGGCATTAGGGGGTGTGGCTAAAAATGAATACCTGCTGTTGCATTACTCCCCCAGAGTCACACGTCAAGTGGAATTTTAAATCTAATTTTAGTTGTTTACACAGATATAAAACAAAAAGCACTTGTAAAAAAATGACTTTTAAACGTCTTTAAGAAATTTTAATGCCCAATTTGAAAGTCGTGTGGATAAAACAGCATTTGACTGTGTTTTGTCTATTACTTTCTGTCGTAGACAAAACTCTCTGTTCATTGGAATGAAAAGAATGTCACTTTTGACACGTCACCAGTAACAGGAAATAAAAATGTTGTATGAGGGATAATCCCCTGTCAGTATTTCTCAGCACTGTGCTGAAGCGGGTCTGTTGCATGCTCAAAATTTAGGACTACACAAGGTAAGACAGTTTGGCAATAACAGGGTTATATTTATGTTTATTGTTATTCTGCTCATTAAACTGTTAATTGTAAAGTATCAAAATAAAGAAGGTAAATGAGTAAATAAAACTCTGGATTAAAGTAAGGGATGATTTTATTTGTTCTGCTTTGGAATTTGGCTTTAATTCACTTGCTTTACTTTGAACCTAATGAAAAACTTTCTTGTCCTTAGTGTATCTTGTTTATATGATTTCTAGAAATGGGGTCATCATCTTCTAGAAATCCGCGTCCTCGTAAGTTTCAGCAAAACCTCGTAATTATATGTGTCTGAATGTTGCATGTAATCAAATTTATAATGTCTTTTTAATCTAATAGTTATCAAAGAACCATGGGTGCAGATCAACTGGGGGTAAGTATAGAGCAGGTTTTGTTTATATTTCCATAAAAGTAAGAAAAACTAAGTTTCTAAGACAGTTTTGCAAAAAAAAAAATTTTTGTTTTTTATTGAAAAAGCTTCTTGGATAGGAAGCTAAATGTCTTTAAACTTGGTAACAAAGTCCAGTGGACAGTTTTTTTGTTTTTTTTTGGATTGACTATGACCTGGATGACTGAGAATCTTCACCTGCATATTTCTAAATACACAAAAACTATCTTGGTATCTCCAAGCAGAGGTGATCGAGAGAATGACCTGCAGTTTATAAGAAACTACAAACCTCGAGCTGATAATCAGCAGCTCAGGATTCTTCTTCACGGACCAGTTGGAGCGGGAAAATCAAGTTTCGTTAACTCTGTCTGCAGCCTCTTCCAAGGCAGAGTGTGTACCAGTGCAATGGTGAATAATGATGTTGGGGATAGCTGCACCAAAAAGGTAGGAAATCAGAATGTTTTTGACAGAAACATACATTAGCATGCATTGATTTTTCACTTAACCTCTTTAATTTCAACGACCCTTCTACAATCACTACAGCTAATCTTACACTGGAAAAATTATCTAGAAATAAGTAAAAATTTCGTAAATTAAGTGTATTTACCCTTAATTTAAGTAGCTAAATGACATAGTTTGCCAATGGAATGAGTATTTTACTCTTAAAATAAGATCATTAGATAATATGCACTTGAAATAAGACAATTCAAATATCTTTTCTTATTTTAAGTGTAAATTGTCTTGTTCCATTGGCAAAATTTATCTTTTACCTCCTCAATCCAAGAACAAATCCACTTACTTTAAGAAAAATAGACTCATATAGATTTTGATTTTTTTCCAGTGTATTGAATTTAGTTAAGTTTATTCATACAGGGTTAATCCACAACAAATATCATGTCAATGCACTTTATAAAGGGATACAAACATTCCAATTATCAAACAATACGGCCAAATTCAGTATTTCTTACAAACTTCGAAATAAATCTTTCGTCCTCTCTTCATGTCTACCTCTATATTCCATATATTCCATTCGTTAACCTTTAACAGCAACTTTTTGTTTGCAAAATGGAAATTAAGTTACTATGCTAACATGGTAAAAATTTGCAAATAGCTATCTTGATACCAAAGATTTATTTTTTTTAAGTTCCACTTTTCCTTTCATATTTTTATTTCTTTTATCTTTTTTAATACAGAATTTTCTTATTTTAGTTATCCATTTTTTATTTTCTTTTATTATTTGTGTTGCTGTTATGCCACTGCAGTTTATTTTTATTTTTATGTAAAGCACTTTAAATTTTGGTGCCACTGAAATGTGCTATATCTATTTATATATATATATACACTTCCTTGCCTGTTATTTCCTTTGAATATGACCTGGATGACTGAGAATCTTCACAAGCGCCTTTAATTTCCTTGACCCACACATTATAATTTGCATTTGTTTCTGTTTCTGTCTCCTTGAACCCCAGTCGGCCTCGGCAGATGGCCGCTCACGCTGAGCCTGGTTCTGCTGGAGGTTTCTTCCTGTTAAAAGGGAGTTTTTCCTCTCCACTGTCGCTCCAAGCATGCTTAGTGTGAGGGATTGTATTCGAGTCAATGAGTCGATGCAATAAACTAGTTTTCCTTAGATAGAAAAACTTTGAATCAATTTGACTGGATGATCTGGTGAACTGTAAAGTGCCTTGAGATGACATGATGTGAATTGGCGCTATAGAAATAAACGAAATTGAATTGGATCTGACTCGGAAAGTGCTTCGGAGGCTCGGCCTCTCTGTGCTTAAAAACATTAATGCTCCAACTCAACCACATATTGCTTTAATACGGCTGACAGATTTGCCAAAGATTCCTGGATAAGTGTTGAAATGTTTTTAAAAAACGGAGGAAAGTCGCCCCCCAATTTAAGCCTGTTCCATAGTTGCCCTGACTCAGATGACTGAGAATATGTACAGGCATTAATAAAGTTAAAACTTTATCTGTCAACTGTTCTTAATATGCAAAAAGCTTTTCTGTGTCATCCTTGAAAACACTTTTGATCTCGGCATGAAAAGGGTACATGCTTAAAGCCAGAGGAATGGAAACGTTCATTTACTGTCTGTATAGCTGTACTAAATAAAAAAAAAATGTTGTATACACTCTCTCATATAATAAAAATGAGAATAAAAGTTGTCAAAGTCTAAGCGGCTCTAAGACAACATGAAGACAAAATTTCTCTTGTAAAAAGAGAAATCCAGCTTCTTGGGTCAAATTAATGATTTTCTTGACCTGCATTTTTATTGTAATTCATCTGGCTTACATGACAGTAAAAAAGTTAAAACTGGTATATTTTGTAATTTTTTTTAAATGTTATCTAGTTTTCCACATATAGGTTCGAAAAGGATGATGGACAGAACTTTTACCCATTTGTAATAAGTGACATGATTGGCCTTGACAACACCAGCAGAAGAAACAGAAACATCCATGTGAAAGACATCAAAGAGGCAATGAAGGGACGCATAAAAGATGGTTACACGGTAAAGCTGCTTGAGAACCTGAGCGCAGCAGAACATTTCTTCTTATCTATTACTGACACACACAGGACCATTGATTTACAATTTGAATTTAATGTGTAGTTCAACCCTGAATGCAAGATATTGAAGGAAGATCGACACTTCAACAATTCTCCTACCCAAAGCGAAACAGTACACGTCCTGGTTTGTGTCATAGACGCAACAACAGCAACTGAACTGAATCCAGAGGTTGTGGAAACAATTAAGGACATCAGAGATGAAGCTGCTAACTTGGGTGAGATCAAAATCCTTAGACTTCAAAACAGAAATTGGACATGAGATTTTTAGAAATATGAAATAGTTCAATTTCCTAAACTATTCTCAATGCTACTTAAAGAAACTTTCAGCAACCTTGGTAAGAATAATGCCCGCTCAAACACTTGTTGCTCAGAGAAGAGCAGGCGTGCAGGTGGCGCAGCGGTTAGCGCACACTACCCATGTACCGAGGCCATAGTCCTCAACGCAGCCGACCCGGATTCGAATCCGACCTGTGGTCCACATGTCTCTCCCCATTAGAGACTGACATTTTTTCGGGAATCCCACGGGTCACGGGATTCCCGTGGGATTCCCGTGGGATGGGAGTCAGTATTAGTAACGATCACGTGATTGGGACGGGATTCAACATTAACGGGAGCAGACGGGAGCGGGAGCAAACCAATAATAACTAAAAAAAAAAACTATGATCGATGCCAAAAAATAAAATAAAATAGAAAGAAAAAAAAGTACTGGCGCGGCGCCGCCATTTTGTAGTTTTTTTCCTTGAAGCCTACACTATAATGCGAGTTTAAAAAACTACACGACCCAAAAACCAACAGTGCTTCTGCTCTGAGTTTTTCACCCGCGCTCAAAAACAACAAGAATGGGAGTGGTGCAGGAGCGGGAGTCATTCTGAATGGGAGCGGGATGGGAGTGGGAGTAATTTCACCAGGAGTGGGACGGGACAGGATTTAGATTTCTACTCTGGCCCGGGATTGGGACGGGACACCATTTTTTTCTGTGGGAGTGGGACGGGACAGGAGTGAAAAACCACTCCCGTGTCAGTCTCTAGTCCCCATCTCTCATACCTCCTTTCTGATCAGCCTGCTGTCAGGAAAAAAAGCAGCTAGTGCCTTAAAAACAAACAAAAAAAGCATTTTAGAAGACAAATTTGTTCTTAAATGGTTCATACAAGTGATTTAGAAGAAAATGCTGCATTGACCCTTTCTTAACCTAATTTCTAATCTTCTCTTGAGCACAAAAATATTTTTATGAGTGCTCCAGAGGTGGCATAGGAGTCTTGAAAAATCTGCCAGTTTTTCTCTAAATGACTACATTTTCTGTCACTTAAAATCAATTGTCCATTCTATTAGGCGTATATTATGTAGCTGCAATTATAAATTCCTTTTTTATTCACTGAGGACAGAACCATCTGTCACTACACATGCAGCTGGCTCATTGTTTCAAGGGACGCTGGTTTAATTTGTTGCCATTTCTGTTAAACTAAGTGTGGTCAGTCAGCTCTATGTGGGATCCAGCTACTACTGAAACAAAATTTGGATCAGAAAATAGAAAGTTCAGGCAGGAGGATAAGCCACATGTTGCTGCTTGAAATTTTTCTAACATTAAGACATACACCACCGTTCAAAAGTTTGGGGTCACATTGAAATGTCCTTATTTTTGAAGGAAACGCACTGTACTTTTCAATGAACTTTAAACTAGTCTTAACTTTAAAGAAATACACTCTATACATTGCTAATGTGGTAAATGACTATTCTAGCTGCAAATGTCTTGTTTTTGATGCAATATCTACATAGGTGTATAGAGGCCCATTTCCAGCTACTATCACTCCAGTGTTCTAATGGTACAATGTGTTTGCACTGGAAAAAAATCGAAATCTAGATAAGTCATTTTTTCTTAAAATAAGTGCATTTGTTCTTGGATCGAGGAGTTAAAAGAGACAAGATAATTTACATTTAAAATAAGAAAACACAATTGCATTGTCTTATTTCAAGTGCATTTTATCTAATTATCTTATACTAAGAGTAAAAATACTCATTCCATTGGCAAACTATCTCATTTACCTTCTCAAATTTAGGGTAAATACACTTAATTTAGGAAATTTTAACTTATTTCTAGATGTTTTACCAGTGTGCTCATTGGCTCAGAAGGCTAATTGATGATTAGAAAACCCTTGTGCAATCATGTTCACACATCTGAAAACAATTTAGTTTGTTACAGAAGCGACAAAACCGACCTTCCTGTGAGCAGATTGAGTTTCTGGAACATCACATTTGTGGGGTCAATTAAACGCTGAAAATGGCCAGAAAAAGAGAACCTTCATCTGAAACCCAACAGTCTATTCTTGTTCTTAGAAATGAAGGCTATTCCATGTGAGAAATAGCTAAAAAATTGAAGATTTCCTACAACGGTGTGTACTACTACTACTTGAACGGTAGTGTATATTCAGCTCAAGTCGTGGAGCTGCCCTGGCTTTGCTTGTTTGAATGCTCAGGTTTGGGTCTGCCTGCATTCATCAAATTAGAGTTTACCCGTTAACATTTTTATGTTTATGCCTGTATGAGAGAGATGGAGAGTGCAATGAAGTCATAACTGGTACTTCTAGCCAAAGTGGGTATTAAAATGGGTATTTTGCTTAAAAGTATAGAGGATGATCTCTTATTTCCAGGTGTTTCATCTAAATAAGTGGTCCTACTAATTGTCAATCATTCTGGCGATATGTTTACGTAAGGCCGTCGTACGTGCTCGTCCCATTAGTCTTTTTCTGCTGATGCACACTTTCAGGCATATATTCATATCATTGGGGCTCACCTTTCTCATCTCAGTTCTGTGAAAATGGCCGAGGATCGTAAGAGAAAAAGTGTCTACGAAGTGTGTGAGAAGAAAAGACGGGCACAAGAAGAGACAGATATGTCCCAGAATGCTTTGTGGGAGAGCTCCCCTCGCAAAGCAAAATTTTACAAAATGTGCAGAGTCATCTTTGAGCACACCATTTTACTTTTGTTTCACCAGTTCACGGCTGTTCTTCCAGCAGTACACACTTAAATGCTTTCTTTTTTCTCATCGTCTTCTCCTTCTTTCCCATCACCCGGTTTGCAGCAGGTTTTCCTGCTGTGTCTTCAAGGTCAAGCGGCAGCAACCCAGACTGACACAGCTCATTGGCTAATTTGTATCATGTGCAGCCTGGTGCCGGCGGCTTCACAGGGATTTACCGTACAAACAGGAGAAGCGGCGCAAGTGAAATTAGAAACTGCCGTCGGACACATGCGGTTATTTATAAATGTTTTAAAACAAGTTGGGTCCGGATTAGCCAACAAAATCCGTGACTTCTGCTCTAGGGCATATGACAGAAGTTCTCAAGAATTCTGTTAATTGCAAAAGGGGATGGCTAGAGGGAGCTAAGAACAACAGCTCAAAGGTGTCCTACTTAAGATGGACATTGGGTCCTATAAAAAGGAGGCTATATCATCAAACTATAAGTCAATATCAGACCTCTTTACTGCAAGGAAATTTCTGTTAGTTGTTATAGTATAAAATGTGAGCAGCAATATTAGCAGGACCAGAAGAAATCAGTCAGGAACTCAAAAAGGGTGGGGGAGAATCAGACTTTTTGCCTAGAAGTCACGTAGGAATGCAAGAAGAGACAAAACCTGCTTGACTACAAGGGAGCCTGTACATTAAGTTACTGGTACTCACATGCCTTAAAAGGAAGTTCTGTGGGAATGTCAAAAACAAGAATGGAAGAAATGCCTCCAAGACATCTTAATGACATTTTCAGTCATTTGAAAATGGCCAATTAAAATTTGTAAAGATTTCTAGGTATCTTTAACTTTATTCTTACTAGTACAGTTGTATATATATATATATACAGTATATACATATATATATATATATATATATATATATATATATATATATATATATATATATATATATATATATATATATATATATATATATTTTTTTTTATAGTACAGTTTATATTTTTATATATCTCAAATTTAGATCTGACAAGCAGGAATGTAATTTTCACTAAAACAAATCCTATTTTAGTGTCCTACAAATTAAACAACACAGAGGACATAAATGCTAATAAATGTTACAACGGCCTGCCATATACTGGAAAAACAATCCAGAAATCAGTAAAAAAAAATCTTAAATTTAGTGTATTTATCCTTAATTTGAGTAGGTATATGAGATAGTTTACCAATGGAATGAGTATTTTTACTCTTAAAATAAGATAATTACATAATATCCACTTGAAATAAGACAATGCAATTGTGTTTTCTTATCTTAAGTGTAAATTGTCTCATTCCGTTGGCAAAATTTATCTTTTATCTCCTCAATCCAAGAAAAAATGCCCTTATTTTAAGAAAAAAATTCTTACCTAGCTTTTAATTTTTTACAGTGTACACCTGGGGTGGTAGTTATGGCTCTCAATTGCCCTGTTGTGTAAGGGCTGCTCCTGTGTTGCCATGATAAGTGCATCTGTGCTGTCCTTCAGCCCGACCCTCTCTAGCCATTGGTAGGTTTTGGTCAGTTTCCTATATGTGGTATATCCAATGCAAGCGTTTTACCTCCCAGTATTATTCCTCTAGTTCCTTAACCTCCTTTGTGTAAGACATTCTCTGAGCGCTTCATCCCTTTGAGCCATCTTTCAGATTAATTATTGGCGCTTGAATGTTTCATCTTCACCAGTGGCTCTGATGCTCACTAAGTAAAGGCCTCTGCCTGCTTCTTTGCCCTTAGTGTATAGTCTGAGGATACTGGATTTGAGGAATCGACCATGCATGGATCGTAGCTTTACTGTTTTTAAAATGGTGGCCTGATTTTCTTCTTGTAAGAGTGTTCCTGTAATCTGTTAAGAAAATAAAGCAAGTGTCTGTAGCTAAGGTTTGTGATGTTTAGGATTAAGGGTTTTGTACACCAGTGATAATAACAGAACATTGCTTTGAAGCATACTTGATGATATCATATGCAAATTGTTTTAAAATGAGTCCTTACATTCCTGCCGAGTTTCCTTTTAAGCTTCTCATTGTTTTGCTGCTTTAACTGCAGATTTTTTAGATTCTTTAGAGCAGCATTACTGGAAACATGCACTTAACAACTTAGAGGCTTCCTTGTTGTCAAACAGGTTTTATATGTCTCCTCTCGCATGCTAACATGACCTCTAGGTCAACCTGTTGATTCTTCCTCGCCCTTTTTTTGTTCCTGACAATTTTACTCCCTGCTTAGATTTCTGCTCACATTTGATGCTGTGACAACTAACAGAAACTTCCTTGCAACGTGGAGGTCTGCATTAGGAAAATCATACTAGTGGGTGCTTGGAAGGGGAGAGGGGTCTGCCTGCAGACCTTCACTGTCTGGGCTTTTTGTTGCAGACCTGCACAATGGGATCTCCTGCACTGTCAAGACCAGACGTTTATTCCCAGACGTTTTGTTCAAGGCCTTTTTTTTTTTTTAGGCGAATTCTCACCTCAAAAAAAATATGTGCATTTTCCTTACTTTTAAAAAGATCAAGAAAACTGTTTTATCACATAATTTCTAGTTGATTTTCTTTTATTTATGTTGCATGCATGTCATGAACAGAGACAGATGGACCCAGTATTCAAGGAGAGACAGTCAGTAGGAAAGTTCAAACATTTATTAAATAATAAAACAAAACAAAATTGGAGCTGTTGCTCGCGGACACTGCAGGCGGGGGGGCGGGGCACCGCCCAATCTTAGACACTCTAGGGGAGAAACACAGGTAAGTGACCACAATAAACTGATATAAGAATATCTGTGTTGGTCACTTACCTGGTTTAACAGTCCAGTCTGGATCCCTCACCAGGAAGCCGATCCTGGTGAGGGATCCAGAACAGACAGGAACAGAAACAGGTGGCAGGATCCAGACTTCCAGGCATCCACAGGCTTCCAGGAGGGTTCAGAGTCTGACTGGGACCAGAAGCATGACCAGGTGGTCACGCACAGGAGCAGACAGGATCAGGTGCAGATAGGCAGACTCAGTGGAAGAGGGTAGCCGAGACAGGACGTAGGAACCGGAACTTGAAGCAGGACTTTAAACTGGTCTCCTCCCTGGAGCCAGTCTTACTTTGATAAAATCTGAACCTCCCCCCATAATGAACCAAAAACCCAGAGGACTCCGCGGGGGAGGAACAGTGGACGATCAGGAGACGAGACAAACATAAAAACCCTCTTTCCACTGGCTGCCAGGATCCAGGACATGAACCAAGGAACAAAACTAACAGACAGGCTAACAGAAAGACAAGTAATGATCTGGCCCTGAATGCTCAGGCTGAACTGGATATAAACCAGAGGAAACAGGTGAGAGGAATAAATTATAATTGAGGCAGGGAGGGAAAAACGACAGGTGAAAGGAATTACCAATTAAGGGAGAGCAAACAGGCCAGATCATGACAATGCATTGGATGCATGTTTTATGTGTTTCTATTGGGACTCCTGCTGGCACTTCCTGAATAAATAGACATTTGAATGTCTGTTTTGTATCTACTGTTGAAACATCAGACATTTCAGTCCAGAAATGAGAAATCCTTGGAACAGCTGAGATACTGTGAAGATCTCTGTCTTTCTCTGAGATGGATGGATGGATGGATGGATGGATGGATGGATGGATGGATGGATGGATGGATGGATGGAGATAAAAGTGAGTTTGTACTTTTTCTCTTAGAAATGGTGATATATTCTGTGTTTTTCTAAATTTGTTCGAAAAAGTATTATGTAAATGCTGCACATAATCATAGATGTCATTATATTTTAATTGTATTTCAAGGACCAAGTTGTGTTTGTCACGATTTGGCTAAGGTTAGTTGACCCAAAAGCAGAGGCAGGGAAGCAGAGGTGAATCTCTTGTGGATTTAATCATGAGTTAGCAGAAAACAGAGGCAGGTTATCCAAAAAGAAAACAAAGTCCAAACAAACATGAAACCAGGAGTCCAAAAAAACAAAAATCAAAACATGAAAACTAGTCTAAACGTACCAGAAACCATGGAGACATCAGGGGAATCACAATCATAAGGATGAAGGCTTAGAGAGAAGGAGTTGGAGCATGTTTGATGGTATTTAACGAGGACCGAGCAAAGGGGAATTGAAGAAAGAGGGCTTTTAAAGGAGGCTGAGACAAAGAGGGGGCTAACGAGGAAACTGGGAGCAGGTGTGCAAAGAACAAGACAGGGAAAGAGCTAGAGAAGAAGGAGAACATAAGAGGGCAGCAGAGAGCAAGAAATAGAAACCTGGAAGCCTGGAAATAACAATGTAATGTTAAATTACTAGGACTATAAATCAAGGAGAAAAGAACAGAAACCAGACTAGGACAGTAACTGAAAAAAACCAAAGAACACAGCAAGTTTGAACCTGAACTAAATGACCTTTTTTTAACATCATTACACCATTATTTTTCATGGACTGCCATTTGCAGTGAAATCAATTTTCTAACATCACTTTTGATTGAGCATAAATGTAAAATCGAACCTGAATCTGTCATTCCCCTCTGCAGGTATTCCTCAAGTTGCCATTTTTACCAAAATCGATAAGGCCTGTCCCAAAACTAAACAAGATGTGAAAGATGTTTACAGGAGCAAATTACTGCGTTCAAAGGTGAAGTTTTTTCTTCTATTTTCTGTTGTGGGGCAGGTTTTGGGAACTTCTTTAAATTATAGATATCCCTTACAGTGTTTTATTATAAACCAGGTTTACTTTGAATGTTGTAACCAAATATCTTGTTTTAACTTTTAGATCAAGCGATTCAGTAAAAAAGTGGGGATCCCAGTGAGCTGCATCTTCCCAGTCAAGAACTACACTGAAGAGATTAAGCTTACAAATGACATAGATGTGCTGCTCCTGAGCACCATGAGACGTATCATTAACATTGGAGATGACTTTCTCAATAAAAGAAAAGATTAAGATGGTAAATGTAAAAAAAAAAAAAAGAAATATTAGAAAAACTGCAGAATAATGAATTAAATATGAAATATTTCTGTGTTTAATCAGCATAGATCAAAGCAGTTTAGTAAAATGGAAATATGTCGATCATATCAGGTTTGAAAGTGTTAAAAGTTAGTTTTAATAAAGGAATCATAATTAAGTATTAAATATCCATGTAAATAATTCTGAGAAAATCGTTTTGTTCTGTTTTGTTTTGTGCAGTCGAGATGTAAATACTTGGACATAACTGATATGTAACTGTGTTGGTGACTGAATAAAATTTATGTTAACCTTGTTTTACCTTGTTTAGGGGAATTTTAACAGTGTGGAACAACAATTCTTGCAGCAAGTTTAAGGGTCAGTGGTGGATCAACAGCATCCTGTAATCACTGCCCATCACTGGCAAAGCATCTTTCTGGAAGATAGCATCTTCACACGTTTGCCATTGTGGGAAAATGAGCAAAGATTCTTCCGTATAAGTATAAAAAACAATCCACTGGACTCGGTTTCCAGGGCTTGAAGACGTTTCGCTTCCCGTCCAGGAAGCTTTCTCAATTCAAATGTCTGGATTCGCAGTGATTCTATATAAAGCCTCAAACTCACTGCGAATCCAAACATTTGAATTGAGAAAGCTTCCTGGACGGGAAGCGAAACGTCTTCAAACCTTGGAAACTGAGTCCAGTGGATTGTTTTTTATACTTTTACAGAATGGTTATGACCTGGATGACTGAGATCTTCATCAGCAAAGCAAAGATTTGTTTAAAATTTGCCTAGAGACTAAAATGATTTGAAGATGTTCACATTTGTGTACATGCTGTGCACAAACTGATCTTTTCTTTGCAGCTTAATAACATTCAGCTCATTCATGTGTGACAATATGTCCACAGCAAACGCAAAGTCACAAAGCCAGTCCTCATCGCTCAGCTCAGGGAAGTTCAGATTTTTTTTTATTTTACCTTTATTTTACCAGGAAGTCCCTTGAGATAATATCTCTTTTTCGAGTGAGACCTGGCCAAGAGGCAGCAGTACA